GCACATGTTAAATCAGAATCGTCCTGCATAAATTACAGGCTTTTGGCATATAGGTGACTAAATAGATGGTTTCTTTCTATAGCAAAGACATTGTGCAATCTTTATTTCATTATGAAGTGGTTTGAAAAGTTGTGAAGAAATATCGGACATTGTCCCAGTCCTTCAGTCCTTTAAGTGGAATCTGAGTACATAATTACATGATGCAGTGGTTTAATTCAATCAGCACCTTATATTATCTATCAATAAACCAGCATGTATCCAGATAAAAACCTCTTCTTTACGGCACCTCTATAACTTACTAAAATACTAAAATACCAGTAATACTTCAACCTGTTACCTAGTTGCGATAAATTTCTTCATTTACATTATTAATAACATTACATTAAAGGCACAATTTGCTTTACTACACATGTTTATTCTCATATGATAGTTATAAAATTTCTCATTCTCACCAAAGAGTTAAATAAAAGATGTAAAAAAAAAAAAAAAAATTAAAAAATTAAGAAAAAAAAAAAAATAAATAAGAAAAAATATATTGTTTTTTTTTTTAGTAGATTTCTAGCCCGGCCATTTATCATTTTCATACAGTACAGTCTATTTCTATCAATCGGGCATCTATGTTACTTCATCACATCAGAGAGACATTTGTTTTCTAGGCAACATATAAATTAAAATAGTACAGTAATAATATACTTATTGTATAATATAATTATACCTTCTGTAAAATAGTAATGGTTGATATATTTTGAAGGTTTGTCTGTTGTTTAGTTACCTTAGAGAACTTGCTATAATTTATTTGTAAATAAATTCAATCTGGGGCCCCGGAAACCGCTCAAAAACCAGTATACAAATGTATCTAGTTTAAGAAATGCATGAAGTTTGTAATTCAGGTGAAACATTGAATGTTTAATTATGCAAAGAATGACAACATTGATTGTTTTTATCACCCAATATCTGCATTTTCTGACAAGTTAAACTTTATTTCAAGTGCAGTGCAAAGTACAATGTTACTGCCTTAGGCCAGGTTATATCAAATAATTTGACAGCATTTTAATGTATTAGAACTATTTACAAGTTTTCGTAACAATAAATATGTATCTGTAGGCGTGTATGCTGCTTTAATTAAAAGTTTTATGAATAGATAATAATTTGACATCACACTGATGACATCATAAATTTACTGTATTCGTTGAACCAATAAAAACTTCTATAGAGAATCGTTAGTAAATAAATAGATAGATAGAAACGTTATAAATTTTTTAAATTGCTCTTTGTGATCCAGATAATATACATATTCATATGGTAATGACCCTAGTATGTATAAATAATGGACGATATTGACTAGTCCATTTTTTCCTTCGGACAAATCCACTCATCGTTTTTTTTGAGAAATTTTCATATGTACTGACTAAGAAATGAATAGCGCAGACCACAATCTGACCATCACAGATGTTCCATCAGCACTTGGTTTGCATTTGGTCTGCACTAGTCGCAGAGATAGAAGTTAGTTGCTTCCACCAAGCTAAGCAATTTATATTATTAATTCCTTATTTCAAATACAAGACACATGTAAAAAATTTGAAAGCAGTCAAAAAATGACAGACATAAACGATTTTTCAAATCAAATTTTAAATTTCTTGCAAAAATCCTACTTGCAGCATAAAATAAATGCACTTAGGCCATTATTTTTTGATATTTCGGTTTACAGACCCGCCGACTCTGTATTTTGGGAAAATGAAAAAAAAAAAAAAAATCTGCCCCCAAAAAAATTCTGTGTTGTCTTGAAATACGCTGCTAATAATACGACTTGTCAAAGAAATGTCGCGGTAAGTATTTTAATTAACTGTTAAACCTACCACATGCCAGACTATTTTACCTACGATTTATATAGTGAGATACGCAACCGGTTATCTTTACTCGAGAATAGCCTGTCGTCTGCTAGTTGGGCAAAGTGTTTATTGGTGTATTATGAAAGAATGTCTGTTAAATGGGGTCAAGCCATTCTCACAGAATTATAATTAGGCTTTGATCATATTTCATCAATGCATTGAAGGTCGAAATGCGTAAAAATGTAAAACAACCAAACAAACAAAAAACACGCCAAATTACGTAAGCAATTACATTCAAGGACAGAGCGAGAGAAATCTGCTGCAATTGACAAGATCAGTATTTTCAGATTTAACAAAAAAAAAAATAGTCTTTAAAAGCAGATTGAATACAGGTTTCAAACAAACAAAATAAAAAAAATGCCCGCACTTACTTTTAATAGATTTTTATGTCAAAAATTGACCCGCTAATTATCCGATAAAAATATTTTCAAAATGGGCAAAATTGAACATGACTTTGTGTAATCTTTTCTTGACAGTTTTTTTTTAACATCTGATCTATAAAGAAATGAGTGCAAGTCAGCTGATTTTCGGCACCTTTGATGATTCAGATTACACAGCAGTGTGTAAACATCAAAGAATGACAGATTCTTTTGAAGGGCTGGCTTGCCACTTGTCATAAGTCATCGTGTGTAGATTTCATGTGTGTTTTTAAACAATGGCAATATGAGCAAAAGTTTTTTTTTGTGTATTTAGACAATCTTTGGAATAGACAATCGGCGATTTATTTAATTTCATTGCTCTAGTAAGTACTATGTATATGTATGCACCACATTTATAGTTATGAAAACTTTTTTTTTTTTTTTTTCCCCGCCGCCGACCCTACCTTTTTTTGGAAAAAATCAGTAAACCAAAATATAAAAAAAAATTGGCCTTACCATCATGGCAAACCAATTTCAAGAAAAATCACAAAAATCACCATCATTCAATAAAAACACACAGATTTATCCCATTATTTCATATATTTCATTCAAATATTTTAAAATTTTCACACAGTACTGTTTGAAGTTATCCAAATTATTAAAACCCTGACTTCATATAAATTAAGAAGTCTTGCAATCAATAGAAATAACATATATGTATATATATAGAAGAAAGATTACCCTGTACCTTTAGTTTGACCTTGACTTAATCAGTTTATACTGCAGAAATTAAAGCTATAATTTGAGTGAACACTTTATTTGGAAATCTCTTCAATGTGCACCTGGATTCATTTCCTCTGATTACCATAACATATAAAATCATTCAAAACAGTTCTGAATACATGCCAAGTTTCACATTTTATTATTGATAAATACATATCTCTTCAAATATCTTTTTTTTTGTAATTCAAACCCTTTTAAGCTATAATTTCGAAATATTATTATGACATTGTGACAAAATCATATCTTTTCCTGTCAGTTTATGAAACGTGAAGTTGCCTGTTTTACAAAAAAAACTTTAATAAAATAGTGTGACTGTGTCAACATATTTATCTTAAGCAACCAACATAGACCAGGAATGTTTTTTAGTTAACCAAAAGCCTGCTAGTAGCAACTGATTCTACCCATGTGGCCAGTGCAGACCATTAAATAAGCCTGCAGATCTGTCCCATTATGGCTTGTACTGTTAGTTAAATATTTGACAAATATCCCATATCAGAAGTCACAGCCTAAAGATAATTTCATGGTTTCATTTTTTACAAAGAAAGAAGAAACCAGGCTGAATTCTTTTTTTCCCCATTTTCATACAAATTGAACACCCCCATTTTCAAACAAATTGAACAGCCCCATTTTCAAAGAAATTGAACAGCCTCATTTTCAAACAAATTGAACAGCCCCATTTTCAAACAAATTGAACAGCCCCATTTTCAAACAAATTGAACAGCCCCTTTTTCAAACAAATTGAACAGCCTCATTTTCAAACAAATTGAACAGCCTCATTTTCAAACAAAGTGAACAGTCCCATTTTCGAACAAATTGAACAGAACTGTTGCAGTAATTCACTAATAGACAGAACAACAAAGAGTTTTACACCATAAAGAGCAATAATATTATTGATTTTACAGGATAATGGCAGCCACAGACTCGCACCACTGGGACTGCATCTTTTTTCATTACCTTCAGTAAAACACTCTACTCATGTTAATTACAGACGGAGAATCTAAATATAGCAATGACAAGAGAGACACCCTATCTTCAATACAAATCAATAGTGCCTCTGTGCCAATAAAAACTTTAAACAAAACCATATAGAGACACATCCAGGTAACACATTAATGCAGGTCAATATATTTCACTATACACTACAAGGTACATGTGGAAAATTACAATGTTGTCTAGTTGCAATAACATCATAGTTAAGATTACATACTTATTGTAACTTGGACTCTTAAACCCTTAACCTCCTGAATTTCTATAATGGATTGTCCAGCTTTGAATTTGGAACAGTCCATTCCAAGTTTAAAGGGAAATTTATAATCAAAATACAAAAGAAGTGCTACCAACAGTATAGAGCCAGGCCAGCCTGCAATTCTGTGCAGTCTGACCAGGTTCTATACTGTTGGAAAAGACTAATCACCTTCTACGTTCCTGCAGATTAAAGGGTGAAAAGGCATTTAAGTCATTTAATCTGTCTCTGAACAAATATGTTAAGAGTTTTATGAATGTACATGTATAATCAGTAATTAAACAATATGTTAATTCATCTTTCATAGCGGTAAAAAGCCCTGTACAATTTCATAAAAACATATCACTTCATGTATTTTACCTTTACTCTAAATAACCTTGTATATAATTAATTAGTAAGTTACATTTTCTTATGTCAACATAGACATAAACCTGAGTGTAGACTGAACTTTTGTTAATTATTTTAACCTGTGCGACATCAAAATTAATTGTTTCAACTTAATATATTGTTTAAGTTTTCAATTTTTCATGAGCCCATTTTGGTATATTGCAATATAGCTAATAGGTCACTCAAGAGTTGTGTTAAGCTCTCAACTTGCTATATTACTTTTCAATTTATGTCAGAAATTATTTTGTTAAACTATTTAGTTAATACATTTTATGTCCACTGAATATTCAGAATACAATAATCAATGTTGTTATATTTTAAATACCTTTAATTACTAACCTTTTCTTTACGATTAACAACCTGGTCTGTTTGTGTCTCTGTGTCTACTCCCTGTGCACCTGGCATGTCAAGTCTCTTCTTGCCCTGTGCATCAGAAACATCAGCTACCTCCTCAGTTACAGGTTTTAGATCTTGTGTCTCTGTTGTCTCACCAGAACTGGTCGTATCCACATCAGATGTTTTATTTTCTTTGGTCGTTGTTTCATTCATCTTTGGTAATTCCTCATTTTGACAGACAGGAGATTGAGAATTTTCAACAAAATCCGTCTCTTCTTTAATAACAAGTTCACATGGCAATTCATGTCCATTCAACTCCAATTTGCTTTTATCTATCGTAGGATTATCTTCAATAGTTTCAGACAGATTCAAATTTGCTTCTCCTTTGTTTGAACTTAATTCCACTGATTTGCTATCCACTCCACTAACTTCAGGAATGTCACTTCCTACCACCTCACTGATTTCATTCTTTACTTGATCATAAGCTAATTCACTATTTTCACCTTTCTTACACATATCATTTACAACAGAATCACACTCATCTGCTTCAATAACAATTCCTTGTATATCATTTATAACTTCATCAATGAAATTCTTAACTTTCTCCCGGTCTATGAATTCTTCATCACCTCCAGTATCTTCCTTTTCAGTTACTGTTGTAGTACTTTCTATACCAACTGAAATATTCAATTCAGTATCATCAGCATTTTCATTTTTTGCTGTATCTTCCTTTACTTCCAAACTCTTGGTTCTTTCATCTTCCTTTTGTATCTGATTTTTATCTTCACTGGCGGCATCCTCAATTATATCACCTTCTTTCTCCTGGTTAGTTTCTACCACAACATCTGTGCCTTCAATCTTTGTAACCAAATCATTTTCAAGATTCTCTACATTTACAACACTAGAATCTTTTGCACCATCTTCATTCACTTTAACATCTGCAACAGGAGGCTGGCTTTCATTATCTAAAGCTGATTTCAAGTTATTATTTTCTAGAGCACCTTCATCAAGTTTAGCACATGCATCATCAATGGTTTGTTGAGGGTTATCAACACTTGTTTCCAGTTTATCTTTGCCTTCCAAATTATTACCCATATCCTCTTGACTTTTAACAGAATTAACTTGTGTATCAAGTAACACCTTTTCTTTACCGACTTCACCTTCACTATTATCTGTGTTATCTACAGAATCGCTCCTATCTTTGCTAGAATCCTTCTTCTTCTTCTTCTTTTTCTTCTTCTTTTTCTTCTGAGATGGACTTTTATTCTCTGGATTAACTTTGGCACTTGCTTTTTCGGAATCAACTTTGTCACCATTAACTACCTTAACATCACATGTTTTGTTCCCACTTTTATTCGCTGCATCATCTTTGTCAGTTTGTTCATCTTTCTTGTCAATACTGTCATCAAGATCTACCTCAGCATTTAAACCATTGGTATAATCTTGACCTTGCAAGGACACATCAATTATATCAATAAAATCCGCTTTAGATTTAATGTCCTGACAGCTCAGTAAGTTTCCATGTTTATTTTCATACTCCTTATCTTTTGACTTTCCTGTCTCCATTTTGGACAAAGCACTCCACTACTAACTTCATGTGTCATTTATGCAAGGTTTAAATATCATAAAAAAATGTTACGAGAGTCAGCTGGTGTGCTCACACGTCTGTTACGCTCGATCGTCAATAAACTAATTGATTTTCTTAGTGAAAATTCAATACTGTTCTCTCTGTTTATACCTGTGTCTGCTGATCACTGAAATAATAATGAGACAAAATGTCATACAAATATTACACACTGCCATAAATATCATTTATATCATATCAGAATTGAAAACTGATTTATAAACCCAATAAGCCAAGTAAATGGCATAATATGAGACTGGAAATAAATTTAGTTTAAACAATGACTTATATTTAGCTGAAAAAATCAATATTACATTTTTTGCCTAAATCTTTTGTTCTTCCACTTCTTTATAAATGTATATGAAAAAGTAGGAAGAACAAATCTAAGATCCATTATATTACAGTACTTAAATACATAATTATAAAAAATACATATATTATATCATTGATTAAATTGTATTAATTATTACAATTGTAATGAGCAGGTTTCTTTTATCAAGAATTTCTTTATAAGAATTTCTTTCGTTTCTCCAGGAAACATTTGAACAAACTGCATTTTAAAATCCTTGTGAAAATTTCTGAAATAAAGTGTACCCCTCTTAGTTTTTACATTTACCAATTAGTATATAATCTTACAATAACATTGGTGATGACAACAATTCTGCTTCTGCTGATGATGATAATGATGATGATAATGATATTAATGATGATGTTGATAAAAACAATAATGATGATGATGATGATGATGACAATATAATAATGTTGTTAATGTCTTAATGATGATGGTGACATTAATCTTAATTATTATTATGATAATGTTATTAATGCTGTAACGCAATGATGATGATGATGATGATGATGACAATTATGTTAATTATTATTATGATAATGTTATTAATGCTGTAACGCAATGATGATGATGATGATGATGACAATTATGTTAATTATTATTATGATAATGTTATTAATGCTGTAAAGCAATGATGATGATGATGATGATGACAATTATGTTAATTATTATTATGATAATGTTATTAATGCTGTAAAGCAATGATGATGATGACAATAATGTTAATTATTATTATGATAATGTTATTAATGCTGTAAAGCAATGATGATGATGATGGTGACATTAATCTTAATTATTATTATGATAATGTTATTAATGCTGTAACGCAATGATGATGATGATGATGATGATGACAATTATGTTAATTACCATAATATTGTTGTTATTGCTGTAACTCAATATTTATACATTAACAAGAGCTGCTGTACCTAATCCTAACAACAAAATATGAACTCCTTTTCAACATACATGTATCATAATTATATCAGTTGAGACAGTATGTAAACCAGCTATCTTTTCAAAACAATAGAAAAACTTCCTTATACTGTACCTATCATATCAATCATCTGAAACACAGCATTCATTTCTTAATTCAACAATTAACGTTTCATGCATAGCCACATTTCTAATGCAATACTTACCATAATGTCAATCTATTACCAGTAAGACACAATGTCCTAACTGGTTATGGCGGACTTTATTTCACGGTGTTATTTGTTTCAAGTGAAGTAGACACTGCAAAGGCCATAATGACCACTTTCCAGCTTTTTTTTTCACTGGTGAAGAAAGACCGGCCCTTTATGGGCCTTTATACACCAGCACCTAGTTAAACCACCAACCTTTCCTTACGATATCTGGATTGCTTTTTTCAATTCTATGCAGATATTTCATCAGAGAGCAACAAAGTTAACTCTTAGCCACTGAATTCGCCTTTAGTATATAGATATGTGTAAAATAAATGTATTTTGTTAGTTTTTAAAGTTTCACCAACACTGTACAGGCCACATAGCTATTTTCCAGCTTCAACAATGGAGGCAAACCTCCAAGGCGCCAATCAAGTGTATTATTAAAGTAACAAGGAGTCACCTGAGTAGAATCACCGGCCCTGCCTAGGCTAGCTAGATAGCTTCCTTGCCTACAATAATCCAAAGTCCCCTATGGGATTCAAACCCACAGTAACTGGGTCAAGAGTTTCCAAATAAAGTACATTAATTTATCAAAAACCACACAAGAAGTTAAGAAAAACACTACTATACACAAGTCGCTATCAAAAGCTGATATCTGTCTAGGTACAATTTTTTAACTTTGTTTATCAAGCAATTCCATCAAGAAACCTTACATAACAAAATAAAAACAGTTGATCTAATCAGCCAACTTGACAAACACCTTTGAAGCACTATTTCCTTCTCATAAAAAGTCGTAAACCTTTTTATATACATGTAGATCTATATCATACCGGCTCGTGTATCATGTAAATATAACTTTGTTACAGTAGTGCTAAAAATATTTAATTATCCTAACTATGTACATGTTTTTACATCAGAAATGTTATGCAACATTGCCTCGGGCAATTTGATATGGTGAAAAACATGCTTGTCAAGCTTCAACATGCCGTGTAAAAAAAGTTTAACACCCTTACATACATTTGGTCACAATGAGGACAGTTTATCCTGGTGAAGAAATTTCTCATTAAAATTATTATACCATTTGACAACCTGGAGAAATCTTTATCATTATTTTGTATCCACTTCCCCACCTTGAGGATTGTAGACAACCGAGGAATGTTCAAACGTTATGATGATGTTAAATCATCAAAATCTCATACTTCTGGCTGGAAACAGCAAACATCGCTGAAATTATTTTGGCCTATGTATGCTTCTCACATTAACAGTGCATGTTATGGCACAGAAATCATAAAACCACAAATAAACTCAATGACTAACAGTTTTCTTTTCAACTGTAGAAATGATAAAATCTCTACGCAAATAAAACTCTTTCTGCACGAGACATTTTGCACCTAATACGATTTGGGTTACCGCTTTTCTAGAACACATTTCCCCTTATTTCCGATGATTATAAATCTTTTTTTTGTAGAAGCTTTTTATGTAATTACTAGTTATAAGTGAGTCATTCACATGTAAATTTAAGAACAGTTTTTGCATACAAATTTTGCTCATGTCTTAATTCGAACTTCAATGTTTCTGTCCTAGCACACACTTTTTGTCATATATTCATTTAAAATTCTACGTTTAAGAACTCCTTACACGGAATTATGTATCAATAGCCCAGTCGGTCTGTGCTGTAATTTGAAGCGACTGACCTTGGCAATCAGTGTAGGCCTAGGTCAGCCTGCACGTCCAAAAGTAGAGTGAGTGAGAATGACTAGCAGAAATTCGTAACTTCATCAATATTCATGACTTATTAATTACTGTTACTATATTTGGTGATAATTGAAAGCCATTTATAGAGATAATTATTCTATAATATATTCATTTATGATCATGGACAACTAATTACTGGACATATTGTAACCTTATTTATGTACGTTATAATTATATATAATATATAACGCTAGCACCTGTCGATAATCATGACTATCTAATTAACTGCACAGTAACATGCATAATGAGACAGAATATAATATGATAATTACATATTGGGGGTTGACCACAAAACTGCAGTAACTCATGTGAAATCAGAACTTACAACAGTTTCGCGATCAACCCTCGATATTTGAGCTGTACTTCTCTAAACCCATTCCCATATACAAGCGACTTACAGCGCAATTATAGATCGCCCTATGCAAGCACTAAATGTGCCCCTCCGTAACCATAGTTGTGTAAAAAGTGTTATAATAATTAATTTTGTAAACAGCATTGAATTTGATAATTTTTCATACTCTCCTCATGATGTTACTAAATTAATGGATTGTAAGTTACACCTAAACAGTAAAGAAAATATATATATAGTGACTTTCCAGTTTTACTAGTGGAGGAAGACCTCAGGTTCATACATTATTTCAGACAAAAGGTCATGTAGTTATCTGAGCAGATCTACCGACGTTCAGTAACCTAGCTGAATAGCTTCCATATATGAAAAAATCCACGTAGTTCCCTCAACTAGATTCAAACTCTAACAAGTAAGGGGGCACATGATATGAATTCCGCAACCTAACAACTTAGTCAAGAAGACCTTATAATAGCTAATCACGACTAAACTCAAATGTTCACCAGCAGTGTGAATTATCAAAGAAAAAAAATCCCCCTCCCCCAAAAAAAACAACAAATATGCAAAGGACAAATTTTCCATGTTTTTTTTCTAAAACATGACTATTAAAAATTTTATTAATAAATTTTAAGAATGACAATTGATAGAAACCTAATACGGGACATTACAAGTATGTCAATAATTACTGTACAATCTCAGACAAAGAATTGAACCCCAAACTGCTTGCTTACACCAAAGTCGAACCCTAGTCACTGCAGCAACGATGCATCTTACAGTGTGTACAGTTTATACTATTGGATATCCATTCATAATGTATTATCAACAACTAAAAGCTTTTTTTTTCTCTCATTCTTTCTTGATACCTTGCATTTATATTAATACAACAGCCTACAGCTATGATAATAGAGTAAAATATTGTAGGATATCTACAGTCAACATAAGTTACAATCAATCATCTTATTTCAACTATATATGAGCCGCGTCATGACAAAACCAACATAATGGATTTTCGACCAGCATGGATCCAGACCAGCCTGCGCATCCGCGCAGTCTGATCAGGATCCATGCTGTTCGCTTACGTACTCTATAACAAGTAGAGAAACTGATAGCGAACAGCATGGATCCTGATCAGACTGTGCGGATGCTCAGGCTGGTCTGGATCCATGCTGGTCGCAAACCCATTATGTTGGTTTTGTCATGACACAGCTCAATTATTATAACTAACAATCAGCGTTTTGTTTTAACCCAGGGACAATAAGAGATATGTCACAAAAAAACCATCTCCATTTACATTCATTCTTTGTACCAGTCGGAAATACATTAAAAAAAAATCTGAGTATGAAATTAAAACCATGTTATGTGAACACTTTGATAAAATACATTCCTTTATACGTTATATGTTTTGAGTCATGTTATTTCAAGTTTAACAAAAGATTTGACTAAAATGTACTTATAAATCCAATATAAATCCAATATATATTTGGATATATATTTTGTAGGATGATCGAAACTTATATTACTGTGTGTTTTTTGATATCCTTTATGCAGAAATACGTTTACCGGCTTTATATAATGACTCATCCAACTTAATTACATTCAAATATTAATTCATAATTGTATAATAATTTCTGCCATCATTTATAACGAAAAGTTCACACTTAATACTAAGCTGACCTTTAAAATATATATTAGGCTAATCAGTTCTTTTCCTTTTTTTGTAAATATTCATACCTATAAGATTTAAAAAGATTTTTTTTCTCTTAGAAAAATTTTATATTAAAGGGACTCCACTGCGGTTTTTTGACATGACGGGACTGGAAATATTTTTTTTAGATTATTCCTCCATTTGATGTAGATCTATACTAATAACTTATGTGCAACATTTCAGATCATTAGCTTGCTCCATTTTTCCAGAATAATTATTATGATAGTGAAAAATGACCCAAAATTGAAAAGCATTTAAACGCTTTTCACTCAAATCGGACTGAGAATAGCACAAACATATGATTTTAAATGTATTTCTTGTGTATTTTTTAGTTATACTTTATTAATATTTTCTGTTTAAAGTGCTCATGTTAATCTATGAGAAAAATTAAAATATTATGTTTTAGGCTTATAAACCTCAGTGGAGTTCCTTTAAAATTATAAAGGAATTCAGCTTCATTTCTATAAATTATATTATAGGGAACTTCTTACAATAATGTGTCTTAGATAGAAACTAAAATGATGTGAAACAAAATATTGCTTGAACCATGGGCCTTTTTAAGCCACCCCCTTCCCTCACCTGAACCCCCCCCCCCCCCTCCCCCCTTTTATCTGTACAATATAAACATTTCTTGATATTCAATAATGTAGCAGCATGTAAAAACATTAGACAACTGTGGAGGTTTATCAGCAATGTGCAGTTTTTATTTCCATTCTTGTATCACAGAAACTGGGTGTGGTCCAATATTGAAGTAGAATTTCCTCAATTACTCTCAACGTTTAGTATATCTTTGAGAAACCTTTTCCCTGCTGAATTTGTATAATGAACTGGCTTTGTTCTGAATTTGGAACAATCCATTAGTAATGTAAGCGATTTCAGTGTGACAATATCAAATCTATAAGTAATTTAAACATATGAGCCACGTCATGACAAAACCAACATAGTGTGTTTGTGACCAGCATGAATCCAGACCAGCCTGTGCATCCACGCAGTCTGATCAGGATCCATGCTGTTCGCTTTCCAACCCCATTACAAGTGGAGAAACTGATAGTGAACAGCATGGATCCAGATCAGACTGCGCAGATGCACAGGCTGGTCCTGATCCATGCTGGACGCAAATGCACTATGTTGGTTTTGTCATGACGCGGCTCATATATGTATTTATTTGAGCTCAAATGTGAAACAAGTTCTTGAAACTTATATTACTACATGTAATAATCACTTTCAAGGTCGTTTCCTGGAACTATCCAGTACTGGTGTCGCATATGGAGAGATGGTCATGACTAATGTTGGGTTCAAACCCACAGCCCCTGGGTTGAGAAGCAGACAAGGTCACTCAATACTATACCTAGGTAGCAAACAGGAACTGCATGTGTGTGTACGCTGGCCAAGCTCACTATACTAATGGAAAATGTCTTTAATATTCACCTCTAGCAACCAAACAGTTACCAAATCTACAGTCAATATTATGTAAAAAGCTTACAACTTTTTATACTCTTAAAATGAATCAAATTAACTCTTTTTCGCTTTGCTAAATTGTTTTAAAAATCTAACAAAATTAATTGAATCTTGAAGTTAGATTGCTACACCATTCCATTTATACTTTTACAAGATTTACTAAATTCTTAACATATTACATTTTATTATCATTACTTAAGAGATTTTAATCTATTTCTTCAGAATATTATACAAGTGGGTGTCAGTGATCCTTAAAATCTCTATGATGTGATAACAATATCCTTAACTAGACTAGACTGATTAATCTGGTGTTCAAATTAATATAAAAGAATAATAATAATGCAATAATAATGTAATATTGTATATGATCACATAAACCATCTGATATCATCTGATTGTTAATTACCTTTAGTCAACAAATTATTCCACTAACTGTCCGCACTAAAAACAAATGTTATTGTCCCGTCAGACCAGCTGTCTGATAACAGTCCTGTAAAAATATAGCAAACATAAACTTGATTTCTGTACAACATTCAAATCTTAAACTGTAATCCAGTCTGCTTATATATGGTTAATGATATTAAAACATTAAATCCAATTTGTCACAGGCTAAGCCTAAAGAAGGTAGATTTTATTATTAGTCACAAAATCTGATAAAATACTTCTCTCATCTGTTAAATGTTAACAGTTTTTTCTTCACAACAAAATTACATATAAAAACGCTGTAAATACAGTCTCGCACGACTGTCACCTCCGAACATCAACTCAACCTTTTAAATGTCTCTTTGCTTAAGAAGAAGAAATCTACCGTTTAAAAACCACAAATTGAAAACAAAGGCAACGAGCGAGTGAACTAATATGTTTTACAAACTAGAAATATCTTCCACAAACAAACTTGTTTTTTCTCTAATTAAATCAATAATCTCCTACCACTATAGTTATATCCTTTGTTCAATGATTTCTAATGATCCGAGTATAAACTAACCTCTTGTCCTAATAGTCGACAGTACTTGACAAACTGGTCGCACATTTCCTTCTGCGTCTAAAGATAAAATCTCTGTCTATACAAGCTGTAAAATAAAAGGTAATGTTAAACATGTCAGTATTAAGTTGTTAGACACGTCACTTTTCTGCAGGTACAAATATATTGTCGTCGTGGTCGTCGTGTACCAAATACCAAATAACGGTACAATATTACAGTCTTAACATAATAAAAACATTTTCGAAATACACAAAGTACTTTTATATTACAGTTTAAAAAGCCTTTTCTTCTTCTCTTTCTACTTCAATGAATACCTTTTAAACATAACGTAAAAACTGTAATTTTGAAGATTACTTAATTCATTTCAAATTGAATAAACCTCAGATTAAATAAACCTCGTCAATATGACCCTAACAAAATGATTTTATCCTCGTTCATATTTGTGTTAAAATGGTACAATGACTAAAAATAAATGTTTATGAAATATAACTGTGCAATAAATTAATATTGTAATACACTATCAGTTATTTACAACTGATTGATACCCAAAACTAACAAGTAGCTTAAGATTCCACCATGATCGTGTTATATTTATCACCATTTCTTATCTGTCAAATCATTTACTTTCACTGGATGATGTTTTTTTAAAACAAGAAAATATTGTTGTGACCATTTTTTCTTGTTCAAAGAGAAACTTCAGTAAAATATTGCCTTGTATTGTATTTTCAAAGTGTTAATGGTAAACAAGTGTCCCTTTTTTGTATAATTTCAGGCAAAAGAGATGCCCTATGTGTGACCTTGACCTTGGCCACAGGGACCTAAATTTTGCATGTGACACTCTGCCTTACAATAGTGAACATTTGTGCCAAGTTATATTGAAATCCCTCTATGCATGTAGAAGTTTTGCTCCAGACCAGCATTTTTCTATGACCTCTAAGTGTGACCTTGACCTTTGACCTAGAGGTCTGGTTCATGAGTGTGTCATGGCTTCTCATAGTTGTGAACATTTGTAAGCAGTTTCATTAGAATCCCTCCATATGTGTAGGAGATATGCTCTGGACAAAATTTCTATATTTTATCATCTTTAGTGACCTTGCAAATCATCTTTAGTGACCTTGACCTTACATATATTTACCTAAATACATGTGTCACACCAGTAATCATGATAATGACCATTTGTGTTGCAATCCCTCAATTAATGATGACTAAATGGTTCCGAATACACATTTTCATATTTTATCTGAACTTTGACCCCTATGTGTACCTTGACCTTGGCCAAAATGACCTAAATTTTGCACGCAACACTCCACCTCATAATAGTGAACATTTGTGCCAAGTTATAATGAAATCCCTCGATGCATGTAGAAGTTTTGCTCCGAACCAGCATTTTTCTATGACCTCTAAGTGTGACCTTGACCTTTGATCAAAAGGCCTGCTTCATGTGCAGGACACGGCTTCTCATAGTGGTGAACATTTGTATGAAGTTTCATTAGAATCCCTTCATGGGTGTAAGAGATATGCTCCGGACAAAAATAGGATGCCGCCACCCACCCACCAACCAGGGTGGAAGCTAAAATACGACTCCTTTTTCAAACTGTAAAACCTGCATAAGAAAACCACTCTGATTGCCATCATTGTTACAACTGTAAAACCTGCATTAGAAAACCACCACTGATTCCCATCCTTATAACAACTGTAAAACCTGCATTAGAAAACCACCACTGATTGCCATCATTGCAACAACTGTAAAACCTACATTAGAAAACCACCACTGATTGCAATCACTGTAACAATGTAGAACCTGCATTAGAAAACCACCACTGATTGCCATCATTGTAACAACTGTAAAACCTGCATTAGAAAACCACCACTGATTGCAATCATTGTAACAACTGTAAAACCTGCATAAGAAAACCACCACTGATTGCCATCATTGTAACAACTGTAAACCAGCATTAGAAAACCACCACTGATTGCCATCATTGTAACAACTGTAAAACCTGCATTAGAAAACCACCACTGATTGCCATTATTGTAACAAATGTAAAACCTGCATAAGAAAACCACCACTGATTGCCATCATTGTAACAACTGTAAAACCTGCATTAGAAAACCACCACTGATTGCCATCATTGTAACAACTGTAAAACCTGCATAAGAAAACCACCACTGATTGCCATCATTGTAACAACTGTAAAACCTGCATTAGAAAACCACCACTGATTGCCATCATTGTAACAACTGTAAAACCTGCATTAGAAAACCACCACTGATTGCCATCATTGTAACAACTGTTAAACTTGCATTAGAAAACCACCAGGTGGATTATTATGGTAATTTATGATAGTTTACTCAAGCAAAATTAAGGTTACTTTTTATTATACAAAAAAAGAAAGAAATAGATTTGAATAAATTAGAAAGAATTAAAGAACAATCTTTGGCCTGTTTATGTACATAGGTTATACCTCAGGGCCATCTTCTCTTCTATTCTGACACTTCAATTAAAATTCCTCATTATGTAAAACAAACAATACATTTTGTCCCTACAGCAGAAATAAACACTGAGATTGGTAAATTAAAGACCACACCTTTATAACCACATATACCTGTGACAAGACTAGATAGTTATAATCAATAAATTATCAAATATTTCATCAAAATTGGCAGCCTATTTCATTACTGAGTTAAAATTAGCCAGTTTTCAAAACTTTTACAATAACTTAGGATGTTAGAAAATTTTAAAAGCAAGTTTTACCACTGATTATGCCAGAAAACACTCTTTGGTAATTAGTATTTAAATGAATTTTAAAAAGATAAGATTTAATTCACAACTATATTATAAGAGAAATTTCTGTTTTAATACCAAAATATTTGTCCCATGAAGTTACATTAAAGATATCGCCATTTATAAGAATTATAAGTTCAAAGGGGAGATAATTCTGAAAATAGTGGTACTGGAGTTATGAACCTTGCCACATAATTATTATGTGGGTGATTATAATGATGATTTATAAGGAACTTATATTTGAAGGTAGAAGTAAATCTCTAAAGAAATATTTTATTAAGTCATTAAAGTAATAGTAAAATAAAAAAAATATTTTACCAGCACAAAACTTCAACCAGAAATCTGGAAACCCCAAGACACAGTTTATCATTAATATAATTGAAGACTGAAAATCTGTTATGCCCTCAGTGCTTGGGGGGATTTGACTTAATTGCCCTCTTTCAAAAAAAAATTCCTGCCCATTTTTTGTTTGTTTTCCATCTTCCTTTTTTAAGATCCATTTTTTTTTTTTATAAAAAAAAAAGGCAAATGTCTTTTCTTTGTAGACTGAAATGATAAATCTTTTGAATTACAATTTAACATGCGTGTAAAATGGTTTCTTTCCTCCATTTCCAATTTCTAAATTTTCTCATCATTTCCCCAATCCATGGGCACTGCAAGTTCAACCATTCCCCTAAAAGTAAAAAAAGAAAAAACACTGGTGACAGCAGGATGGGCAGAAAAGGGGCAAACCCATTCCCCTCTTCCCCATTTAAGTAGTGGGGACATTTAAAAAATGTAAAAAAACTTACTTGCAATTATGTCCAATAAGGATTTTTTCTAAAATTCCTCCATATACAAAGAATACAGACACTTCTTCTCATACAAGTTGTGTCCTACTGTATGTTGTATTACTCATACAAATCATACAAGTTGCGATCTACTGTATGTTGTATTACTCATACAAATCATACAAGTTGTGATCTACTGTATGTTGTATTACTCATACAAATCATACAAGTTGCGATCTACTGTATGTTGTATTACTCATACAAATCATACAAGTTGCGATCTACTGTATGTTGTATTACTCATACAAATCATACAAGTTGTGATCTACTGTATGTTGTATTACTCATACAAATCATACAAGTTGTATCCCACTATACTGTATGTTGTATTACTCATACAAATATAATCCTATCCTAGTAATACAATAAATATAACATGAGTTTAACATACCATATAAGATTATATGACATTTCCTTCTAATGCCTTAAATCATTTATTCTGGTATGCATATCTTTTCAATGGGATAATTTATAACAAATAATCGCAGGAAATATTGAAAAATATGCAAATATTTCCCACAAACGAGTGAGAAATTTACACTCTAGCCTTTGTAAGCTTAATTCATAAAAGAATACATTAGAATTCTCATGTATATAAGTATGCAAACTTGAAAAAGGTGAATATAATTGATTAAATTGCTTGTATAACATACATAATTATGTGATGAAATGAAAAGACAAACATGCCACATAAGTAAAGGCAGGCATTATACGACAAAATCCAGATTTGTTTGAGGAATCCAAAATAAATTCAACTGAACATTTTTCAAACAGTAATAATATAATAACAGAATTTTACATAAGAACATGTAGCTACCTCTTATTAAGAAATCACTTTACTAATACCTGATATCACTGGGAATGGGGGCTCCAAAATCGTAAAATGAGCCGCATCACGACAAAACCAACATAGTGCGTTTGCGACTAGCATGGATCCAGACCAGCCTGCGCATCCACCCAGTCTGATCAGGATCCATGCAGTGTTCGCTATCAGTTTCTCTACTTGTAATAGAGTTGGTAAGCGAACAGCATGGATCCTGATCAGACTTCGCGGATGCCCAGGCTGGTCTGGATCCATGCATGTCGCAAACCAATTATGTTGGTTTTGTCGTGATGTGGCTCAAATGATCAGTAAACTTGTCTTACGAAATATGGGATCATGTTGTCACAAAAGTCAAGATAAACATTTGAGAATCAAATTGTATAATGAATTTACCTAAAGAGTTTAAAAAAATATAGAGCAGATATGAAATTGCTGACAGATGATCAGACAGACAATCAGCTTCTTGTAGTCAAGGTAAATGACCATGAGGATGATGACCTTTAATCAACTGACCTTACGATAATATGGCAGGAATGATTTTTAACTTTATGTTAATACTAACAAACTCGAAGGCTTCCGTTAAAGGACGTTTGGGAGTCATTTACTCCTTGATTTTCGCTTGTGACCTCCAAAATATGATGATTTTCCTTCTTTATCTATATAATGCGGCTTCTAATATCAGAGACTTTGCAATCTCTGACTCCCAAATTTTGAAACTTAATGGAAGACCAGAAACTAACAACTTTTTTTTCTATGATTTAATGTAATGTTTGAGACATAATTAATGTATCTTTCTTATTTTGATCATTTAACCTTTAAAATTTCTATCATACTTTTGAAGATCTTGTTAGGAAATTCAAAATAAAAAAATCAATTATGAAAACCGAAAAATAATAAATTCATGAAGCTAATTTAGCCAGTTTATAAAAATTCGCAGGTGTTCATGTATTGGAAATAGAGGTAAATCATGTTGAACTTTCCATTTTAAAGTTCTACAAATTGTACTATAGAATTGTTTACATCTCACATCTGGTACAAAACCAACAAGTTTATTATACAAGGTATTATTGTCAATATAATTATTATTAGAGAGAAAAATCACCATCAAAGCTTGACCTTTAAATATTTGTTTAGTTTATAATGAATAAAGTAATATTGATCAATAAAGTACTGTTTAAATCTTTTGTTCTTCTCTTCCAGCAGTCATTTTAGTTTTGCCTATGTTTTATTTACCTTACAATTATTTATATCATAGTTAACTTATAAAAATTCACTTAAAAAAATAAACTTAAAATGGACTGAAATGACAATTTCAAACAAGAGCAATAAGGGGGATAACTAGAGTAATACTATGAAGCAAAAATAAACAAAGTAGTGTCCCCTAGATATGCATTTAAATATACGGTACATTTGTATATTCAATAAAATTATCAATCTTTATAGGACTGAATTTATATTATAATTATAGATATATGTATCAATAAGACTCACATTACAAACCTTATTGAGGTCACTGTGAGGATGTCAATGTGTCCAAGTTATTAAAGGTTAAGATGTCTTTTGATATAAAAATGATGTGTTGGCAAATCAGTTGTCAATGAGAAAAAGAAATAATCCTCTTTGGCAGGAATATTTTCAAGTCCACAAATTGATCATCCATGCCTCCATGATGTTTGAACATGGTCTTTACTATTGGCCATTCAGTCAGTAAATGTTTTAAAAACTGCAAAAAAGTAATGAATAGTGTTATTCACATTCTAAGATGAACAAGACAATTTATATTAATAATAATAATAATAAAGACTTTATTCAAAGAGGCAACACAGTTAGGCATGCCCAGTCTTCCCTATGAGCCTCTATCAAATATACATGTACTTTAAGATTTACGATATTATGCATTGTAAGAGTTAAACATGAAGTGTATCATGAAAAATTCATCAGGGAAGAATATTGCACAAATGTGTCTGTTAAAAGCTACCGACAGAAATTGCACCTATTCAACCCTTGTTGAGTTTCTGACATCAGAATTTAAAACACCCTACCTGATGCATAAGAAATACATTAATCTAATGTACTCAGTGCACTAATTATTCTGATTGCATAATGAAAACTACATTTGTAACTAGGTCTATTGTCTTACATAAAAGTAAGTGCTGTTTTAAATGTCTTTTTATGCCCTTTGCTGAAATATAATAAATTAACAAATTTTATGCATACATGTATTTGAAGACAGAGAGCTAGCTTATTTACCATAAGTAACAATTCTGATTATTGCAATTTGTAATTCATATTTCATTATCATGGCATTTCAATGGCATTCAATAATAAATTACCTTTTAAATCACTTTCAACATTTATATAGGCCTATACATGTAGATATATATTGGTATCTCTCCCTGGTATGCGCACATCTTACCATGTGATACCTTGTGATGTATGGGAAACTTTATTAGTCCCCTAACAGACTATCATTCCCCTCGAGTTCTGTTTTCATTGTTGTTTGCTCCGGTACTGGTCTATTCAATAAATATTGTCGGGTTTGAATCTTTTCCACTGCCAGTGTTTATCTAATTTTGATTTGAACTCATTTACATTCTTGGATAAAACTATTTCACTGGAAAGTAGGTTCCATTCGTTTACGACTCTTTAAGCGAAGGAATTTTGTCTTTAATATTGCCTTTAGTGGTCTTAACTTTTCTTATTTATAAATATGTCCTCAGATTTCATGATATGAAACAAATAATTTGAACAACTTTTCATAGTCAAAATCGTCTATTTTGTGAATAAGTTTAAAAACTTGTATCATATCTCCACGTTGACGTCTGTATTCAAGAGTTGGTAAATTCAAAGCCCTAATAATGGTCCTTTGCTTGGCACCAACATCCTTTATCAAGGCTGTCATTATTTTGTATATGGAAATGAGCTATATTCGTGTGCAATAAATGATTGTTACCATTGTTTCTATCTTTTAAATAGCTGCTCCTCTAAGAATAGACTTCTAATAAAGTTACCCACTTGTTGATTTTTCATGATGCAAATGGCGTAAATGTAATAAAGGGAAACAACTCATAAAAAGAAAAGTTTCACTATCCACACCCATTAGGATGAGCAGTTTCTAAACAAATAAAATCAGTTTGAGTGTTTGTTGAGAATTAAATAATAGCTCTAAATAATAACGAACACCACTAAAAACAGTCCTGTCATAGTTCTTCAAGCCAAATGAACATGTATTTTTTAATCTTTATTTTGAGATATCTTGACAATTGTCGAGAGTCAGACATGTGTAAAACTACACCAGACAAATATTTTTTGTAGATGGTGAATTTGAGCTTATTCCAATGAATTTGGTAAAACATGCACTTTGGTTTATCAGGAAACGCCATAGTGGGAGGATAGTTCTAAGTCTTTATTCTTTTATTTCATTTGCTTTCAAAATATTTCTACAATTCATATTTTTGCAAAATCTGGTATGGAAGAATGGCACTTAGTGACAAAAGTAACAAGAGGGCCATCATGACCCTGAAAGCGCTCACCTGTATATAGACCCTAGGCCAAGGCAAATTTTAAACCAGGGGTTTTATTTGAAGAAACTTTGTAGACACCCATTACAAGATGTTTCATGATATATATCTAAGCTCTAGCTCTTTGGGGTTTTTATAAGAAGATTTTTTAAGTTTTTACTATATATACATATAGGGAAAAACAATGAACCTCCCCCCCCCACACTCGGAGGGGCCAATTTTGACCCCAGGGCTTTTATTTGAACAAACTTGGTAGACACTCACTAGAAGATATTTCATGCTTAGTATCTACACTCTAGCTCTTTGGGTTTTTTATAAGCAGATTTTCAAGTTTTTACTATATAAATTTATATATTTACATATATAAGGAAAATCAATAACCATCGAGGCAGGGCCCATTATAACCGAAGGGCCCTTATTTGAACAAACTTGGTAGACACTCATTAGAAGATGTTTCATGCTAAATATCTTATCTTTAGCTCTCTGGGGTTTTTAAAAGAAGATATTTTAAGTTTTTACTATATACAAATAAGGAAAATCAATGACCCCCGGGGCGGGGCCAATTTTGACCTCAGGGCATTTATTTGAACACATTTGGTAGACACTGACTAGATGATGTTTCATGCCAAATATTTGAGCTCTAGCTCTTTGGGTTTTCTAAAAGAAGATATTTTAAGTTTTTTCTTTCAGATGCCATGGCAACCAGAGTTCTACTTTGAATTAAATTCTTTGAATAATTTTTAAAGTTGACTACCAAAGGAACATTCCTGTGAAGTTTAAATGAAATTGGCTTAGTGGTTTATGAGGAGCTGCTGTTTAAAGTAGATGCTGTTTAAAGTAAAAGTTTACAGAACGGGCGCTGGTTGGACGGACGGACGAAAAGCGATCACAAATGCTCACCATGTCACTTTGTGACAGGTGAGCTAAAAAGAGGGTTAGTTTGTAATTAGAGGAATCGACAGAGAAAATGTTGCTTAGAAGATAATGTGAATGGACACTAGTGGGCAATGCTGGCAGATGAACCAAAGACCAATCATTCAAAGGTCATATGTTGGCTTATATAAAATTATAAAATACAGTTTGAAAGACTGCATAAAAGAGTAATGCTTAAGAAGAAGAAAACTTATCTTCAATTTTCTTTTCATTTCAAACACAGATTTTATGAAAATATCTGCAAAACATAAGAATAAAATAATGCATGGCAGTCTTTTCCACGTCAGAGAACAAAGGTACAAATTTAGAAGTTACAATTTTAAACTTGAAAGGCATAAAGGCTATGACTGATTATTTTAAAGATTTTTTTTACAAATAGTGGTAAACAGGAGTGGAATAAATAGACAAAGGAAATAATGAAATCAGGCCTCAGGGTAATAAAAAAAATTTCTGGGTTGTCTAAAACTCAGGAATTTCATTGGTCAGTGTACATTCTGTGGCAGTTTATCAAAAACCTGAGATCTGAGTTCGAGCCTAGAACATTTCTTTATAACCTCAGACCTAGGGTTCTAAAAACAAGAAACGAGAGTCTCACTGGAATAATAACAATTTTTCTTGGTATCTCAGGCAACCTAGTTTAAAACTGCTTGCATAACATATAGATTTGTTACCCTGGGATACTGGATCATACACCAATAAGTCATTTGAATCATCATATATAGCTGAAATTACAATGTTTTTCTTTAGGTGAAAATTGATTTCAGTAAACCCTTCATATTCTGTTGGTGTGTAAAATGACAGTGAAAAATACCTGTATCCCTAAAATGTCAACTGGAGCCTTTAGTTCTAGGAGCAAAGAGACTAACAACAAAACATTACTTGTACTCTTTAATCCTCACAGGAATTTATTCAAATAATAATACAGATCATTTTATAAAAAAAAATGAAAATAACCAAAACTCAAAACACAAAAAAATGCTTACAAAGGGAGACAACAAATGTTCACAAAATACTAAAATTCATAGTGATTACTCCCCCTGCACTAAAAAATTGAAAAATTAAAAAGCTACATGCCTCCAGACCAAAAAATTAACATATTCAGCAATGAAGATAAACATTAATATCTGCTGTCTATATATACTTTACAAAATCAAAAATAAAACATGACTAAATTTTTTTCTTTATTATAAACTCCAAAATTCTGCTTTCTTTCATACAGCTGACTTCAAACAAAACAAAAAATTGTTGTTGGGTTTTATGTTAGAAGAACACTGTTTTACATATATATCACTGGTTGGGGAGACATCTTAGGCCACTGTCCCTCTGTGCATTATATCAGGCACTAGCTTGCTCCTGAGTAGAACAATCAATGTTCTATAAGCAAGCTGGGAGTGCCCTCACATGAAAGAATCCCAAGTCCCTTTCAGGAGATTTGTAAATATGTATGACTTTAAAAAAAGTTTGTTATCTACATATATTTAAATGGTTAAAATAATTTTTACTGTTTAATGCACTTTAGAATATCATAGACAGTAATCTGGAGGCATGCTAAACAATATACATGTACCAAAAATTATAATTTACATATATAACACACATCATTTAATTAACAAATTAAATTTTGTTAAATTATAACTTATACAGTAAAAACACAGATGTCACCTAATATTTCACTTGAAAAAAAAAGCATATATATATAATATACAGTAAATAAAACAGTGATATCAGGAATTGTTTGGACTGGGTTATAAAATCAGCTAATAAAGATTTTGTGACAGGTTATATGGCCTGGTATAAATGCTTGTAATCATATAAAACTGGAACCATATAGCAAGCTGCAGTTTATGCATGGCCATATAATTAAATAAAGTTAAACAAACTTGCGCTACTGCTCTTTTTGATTAAAAAGGAAAAAGAAAAATTTATAATTTTGTACTAGTCATGTTAATATAGATAATACAGGTATCATGATTATCCAATGAAAATTGTCATTACAAAACATGCAGTATGAAATCTTATAATCTGTTACCATAGCAACAATAAACCCGACGTCTGCTGCAATAAAGGACAAACTGATGACTCAAACTACAACAACAACAACATGACGATAAATGATGATGTAACAAATATTTCACTCACAATTTGTAGATTACTTTTCTTCCTTTTAAGTTTTTCACAGAATTATGACACTCTTTGTTGATAGTACACATTAGAATGCTTCTGAATACTTTTCATGAGACTTGTTTAAGTTATTTATAACTATAACATACTATTTGATTTATTTAAAAAATATCGCCTCAAAAAAACTTATTCATAATTTCATGAGGGACTGAAATAATGTAACGAAAATGTTTAAAAACAAGTACTTTTAAAAAGAGAAAACCGTATAAATTACTTTTTATATTCAGCAACAAGAAATTTAGAACAGTATATTTAACGAGAGAAAAAATTTATCTTGACTTTTTTTTTAAACTTAAATCAGTAAAATAATCACTACTATCAATCAGGCTTACAAAATAAAACTGATAAATTGTGTTACCTAGGTGATATATGATATATAAAAGAGCCCACATAAATAATGGGGAAAAAACAATCTGACACAAAATTGTACTCAATCACAACTCACTCTGTCTTCATGTTTTATGGCTAAAATAATATCTTATATTTTGTGTTTCCATTTTTTTAACAAGTGAGAATATATCCAAATAAAAAAAAAATTGAAATTAATTCTTTATCAAGGGTTATTTTGTATTACAGTTAAACAACAATGTAGAACAAAAATCTACAAAGCTGTATGTTTAATTAATATAATAAAACATAACCTTTTTTCGACAAGATGTATGATCTTTTTTTTTTTTTTTAGAAAATAAATAATCCACAAATAGCATGGAAGTAATTTCAACTTCAACCTCATTTAACTTTCAATATTTCAGTATATGTCTATTTTTTATAGACCATCTTATTGTTAATCATCCGATACTGAAGCTCAGATACTTCATTATTTAACCACTGAGGTCTATGCCATCCATGATTGATTACTTATTTGAACTCTGTTTTACCCTTCTTTTCTTTTACAATAATTAACTAAAAGACCTTGGTTACAAGCTAGCAGAGATTTGTCAACAACAAAAAAAGTCAGGAAAACCTTGTGATATAAATTTTTCCTTTATTCCCCTCACAATTTATTTCAAAATTCTTCTAGTGACTAGTTTACTGAAAGAACACTGGCATCTCGCACAGTTGGGAACAAAACTAAACTAACTCATAAGAAAATTGTTAAGAATCATGAACCCTAACAAATCAGTAATATCATTTAATATCAACTAAATTAAGGTAGTATCATAATAAAACGCGAAGCAACTCTCGTCTTTTTTTTGTTGACAATTTTCATCTTAACTGTATCACTTATTTCGAATGTTTTCATCTTAACAATATAATTATGCACCTCTGTGTCACATGAGAGTATATTTTCCATCATGACATCATTATTTTCTAGAAAATTCCAACATGGAGACAGGCATACATGTGCACTTTAAGATCCTATGAAATACAAACTTTTTATATAAAGCAGGTGTGTAGTGTAACAATGAGTTTTCTAAAAGAATACTGATAACTATGTTATATAATCATATGTTAATAATTAAGTCAAAGTTAGTAGTTAAGAACAATTAGTTTCTGAGGAAAAAAAAATTCAAATTTTCAATGGCTTCGAAAATGTCAAAAAGTGGGTTTCCAATATAAGTTGCTGGTTACATCTGGTCTTAAAATAAATGTTGACTCATCAAATGCACGTGTTTTTTATGTAATAAATTAAAAATATGACATCATTATCCATACAGAATTCTCATTTGTTGATAAAGAAATCAATTCAGTTTCATGTTTACAAAATCGTACAACAACAAATATTTGTACCTATGCTACAAAATATACCTAAAAATCACAAAGAAACTAAATACACAAAAAAATCACCCTAAAATCTAATAACTGCAACATGTACAAGTACGACTGTGTCACTATTTACTATATTCATTTGAAATCAAATCTGACAAATCTCACAATACATTGCCATGACAACGAAAGTCATGTTTCATAAAAATACACTTATTTAACTCACAGATAAAAAGAGTTCTGTTTGGAGCCGTCTTACCTACCCTCTTTTTTAACAGCAGGCGTTTGGAGACCAGGAACAGAACCATTTTTGCTCTGCCTTACTGTCAAATCCAACAAATATTGGAAGAAAAGAAACACACACAAAGAAAATATAACTAATATGTATACATCTTTTAGATATGGACATTATTATTATTACAAACAACACACATTTAATATAGACAAAAACTTTATATCTATTGTTACTTTGCTAATACAATGCCTAACAGAGCAAGTCTGAAAGCTTCACAAAAATACCCAAATATTTTTCATTTCAAAAAAAAATTAAAAGAATGTGACAGAATATTATAAATGATGTTTGTTAACTAGTATAAAAAAAAATTCCCACTTTCAAGTACTGGATACTAGTAATATGCTTATTTTTTCTAATCTCATTTCAAAGTTAGTAAGATGTGTGTATATTAATTTTCATAACAAAGAAGGCTAAAATTTAAAAACATGAGACTGACTGTCACCGAGGGGAAAAAAGTTAGTTGTCGATTGGCTTATAGTAAATAGGACAAACTTTGAAAATGACAACTGGTGGAGTAGTGCATTGAATACAGTGTAACCTCTGCAGTGTAGCCCTTTATATAGCAATCACCTCTTTACAACAAGAGTAGAAAATAAACCTGTCTAGAGAAACCACCTCTCAACAACAACCAAAATGTTTGTTTCCTAAAAGGTGTTGCTCTCCAGAAGCAGTACGCTATGCTTCCAAATTCTCATTTTCAACCTATTTACTTTTTATGCTATTCAATCAGTCTTCGGAAATACTAAAAAAAAATGTTGGTTTTTAAAAAAACAAACCCACTATGAAACAATATAAACATGGAAATACTGCACTATGAAATGAATGATGAAAGATTTGTAAGAATTTTAAATTTAGATTCATTAAAACATGACAAAGACATTTCTAATAGTAACTGGGCTAGAAGCAAAAAATTTAAATACAAAGGATCGCAGTATAGATTTTTCATTACTTTTTTTTAAAGAATTACAAGAGGAATGTTCACCATGACAACAAATCTATATTTTTACAATCATATAAATATAGCTGTAGGCACTTCAAATAGTCTTTGAGGTACATGTATCTACCTTTTATATGAAGTCTTGCTCATTAAAGAAATATGATAATATTTTTTAAAATAAAAAACCCCCAAAAATCCATATACCGTAGTTTGATATGAAAAAATCAACATAAATTTTAAAATTTTTCCAAAACTCAAAATCAATACACGAAGTATATTCTGATTTTAATTTGCTATAAAAATCTAATTATTATCATTTAATATTGAAAATTATTGCATTTTTTCCCCTTATATAATTATATTAACCACAAAAATCTAAAATTTCAACAAACATAATTATTACAGCCTGATTTTAAAAATTAAATTTTTTTTCATGCTTTTCCAATATTTTCTAATATGCACAATGTGCCTACACCAAAACTGAAAACAATATTGAGTTTATACTCATGACATATATTAATGACATATTTCAATTACACACTGTAATTCATTACACAAAATTTATTTAACATAATTTCTAGATTAAGAAAATAAATCATAAACAACATATTTTTCAGTAATTTAACAACTGGGCAAGTTCAATCTTGATGAAGAAAAACTTGTAACTGTCTAAAATCAGCATCTACTACATGGCTCTAGACTGCTTTTAATAAATCCAAGAGTTCTTTCCCTTGATAATCTGAAGTCAGCAGTAGTAATCTCCCTTTGTTGAGCTCTATACAATGCAAAGAGTGATCTCCCTTTTATTGGTCCTGGTTGCTACTAGTAACCATCATTGTTCCATGTGATGTTGTCGTAATCACGAAACTTCTTGCTCAAAATACGGGCTGTGATGCTGTGGTTGGCTTGTCCATATCCCTAAAAATACAACAAGAGCCTGGATAATGACAAATTTTATAAGTACAAAAAGGGCCATATTTCTGTCAAAATCCATGTTCCAGTTATGAGCCAAGTTATAAGCCTTGGAGAGTGACCTCCAAATATATTTGTTGAATGTTTCTCAAATAAGTGTGTTTCTATTTAGTACATGTAGTTTTGGAGACACAAACTTGCACACAAAAACTTAACCAAAGTGAGACGCAGTTGCCTGGGCGAGTACAAAAGCTATCCCTATTCCCTGGAGTGTTTTGCTAAAAATTGAGAAACTCTTTATATAATTTTATTGTTAAGATTTCTGTTATTTCATGCTAATAATAAATGTACCAGTCAATTGCAACCGTGGCAACCTGGGGAAGAGCAGAGTTTAGTAAGGAATGTGCTCTTGGCATTTACTTTTCATGTCCTGCTCTGCAGGGACAATGCAGTGGATCAAAATGGTCAGGGATATCTCTGTTATTGCAGTCAGGAATATGTCAAAATTCAAGAGTCAAGAATATGTCAAAATCCCAGTCAAGAATATGTCAAAATTCGAGAGTTAAAGATATGTCAAAATCACATACAATAGACAGAAGTGCTCTCCCTTGAAGCACATTGCTTTCATGAATTTCATAGCACTTAATAATAAAATTGTCAAATTGGTAGATTATGTGAAACAAATTTGTCATACACTTATACAGCACACAGGCAAAACTTGCCTATAACAGCTGTCAAAGGGACAAAAATAAAGAAGCAGCAAACTTTCTGCATAAATAAAAGATATAAACAAAATTATGCTTGTTTATAATTGAACATGGGATAATTGCTAATAAAATCAAGCACCAATAACATATTGTTTATGAATTACACATCATATGAAATGCTAGTATCAATTAATATCTGCCAGATGTTCACCTTTATGCAGCCTCTTAATGCATTTTCCTCCTTTTATCCCAACATTTTCTATCAGATGCACTCCTAAGATAATTATCAGTTTATTTTATATTGCATTCCACTTAAAATCATTTCCTCTGAAGCCGGGCTTATCAGCATTATTGAAATAGGTTGTTAGCACCAAAAATAAAAAAAAATGTCATAACACAATGTTACATTAAATTTGGGTGGAGTTCGAAGAACTCTAACTCGTTCCTAATGTATGATGAATCCGGCAAGCATCTGGGAGCGGTTATAAAACTTTACCCACATTATGATTGTGTGCTCTATGGCTTAGTCATAGGATGAAATTCATTAACTGACGAGTATATATAACATACCTCAAATATGTTCGATACTTCTGATGATAGTTTACTATAGGTGATGTAATAAAATCATTTTACAACATAATGGAATGACATTCCTGTGGACAAGATGTCTTTATGGAAATATGCAAACAATATAAGACATTACAACATGTACTTCCCACAATGTGGTTAAGGAATCTAAGATTGTCATAGATCCAAGTAGAAAGAATGATTCCAAGATATTACTGGGTGATAATGAGATACCTACATGGGTCATATAACCTATTTACAAGGGTCATATAAGCTATAAAGGTTGTTTTGTGGGTTTTAAGTCACACCTACACTGAAAAGGGTTATATATGGGGACTTTCAGGCACAAGTATGCACCTCAGAGTAGATTACCATTGACCTTTCATAACCTAGCTGGATAGATTCCTATCCTATAGGTTCAGCGACCTTAACAACTTGGCCATTTAGTCTTACTGAAAAATGTTAACATTCCAAAATCATTTAAGACCTCTGAAACCCACCACACATTATTTCAAAAGCAGAACCACTGACTTTCCATATTTAACTGGACAGTTTCTTCACAAGTCCCTGGCAGATACCAACCCACTTTACTCAACTTACTTGCCTAATTGGACCCTTGTTTCATCAAACACTACAATCCTACGATTACACAAACTGTTTAATCGGAATGAATAAAAAAGTTGTAACTACAAAGGAGTACTTTCAAAGCTCCATCAAAGCTTTCTTTCAAGTATAGAAAGAGACAGTATATGTATATGTTATATTAGGGGGTTACGCACTCAACATAAAAGACAATATTCATTTAGTAGCACCAGTTAGGTAAGTTTATCCCAGTACACGAACTCAAACCAAGACAGAACTATACATCAAACAATATCTTGTCAGTTAACTTTGTAAAACAACAATCAAAACTAATGACAAACCAACATTCTCTAATTCACCCAGTAATGAATGCTTTGTTCGTTTTACAAGAAGAAAATACCAAATTTTCCTGCCTCCCCAATTTTCTAGTTTACTGGATTCCAAAGTGAGTTTTGCTAATCTTAAAAGACTTTAGAGTGTTCTATCTCAGTAATGGGACAGGAAACACTTCCACTTTCCAAATTCTTGTCTAAGTTCTTACCTTCAAATCATAATTTACATGAATTATTACCTATACTGCTACTGCCGGCAGGCTGTTTTTTCTAATATGAATTTTCTTATATCAGTGACATTGCCAACTAGAGGACTACCTGTGTTTTATACTATAGTTATTCTTCTCTTTATCTATTCATCTTCTAGATAACAATAAGTGGAATCTATTTAATGACGATGTGAGAGTATAACACACAAAACACACAATCAAATAAAACACAAGAGCACTGTGGTGGCCTTTGATTGCTCACTCACATTACACACACAACACACAAACACATCAAACAGGCAAACTTGCAGCCTGCCTCACATTCTTAACTAGCTATCATTGAAGCAATTTTTTCCCCGAGGATGTTGTTCCTCAACTTATTTTATTTGCCAGATTTGAAAGAAGATGTACCAATAACCTGTCAAAATATAAATGATCAATGTAGAGTCTGTAAATAACAAACATTCCCCCGGAGTGTTTATGAATCTAGACTAACTATTGGGATTATAAGCTAATTTACTGTATAATCCCAGTGGAAAAATCAGAGACACTTACAACTACAACATTATTTTGGATAAAATGAAATGTACAATATGTTCTTCTAAACAAAATATATGTTCAAATGTGTATCCTATCTTCATATGTTTCTATGATCTTTTGTGTGTTTCTATGGTCATATTGTATGTTACTTTGTTCATATAGTGTGTTCCCTTGTTCATACTGCATGTTTCTATGTTCTTATAGTGTGTTCCTATGTTCATATTGCATGATACTATGTTCATATAGTGTGTTCCAACTTCCTATGTTTATATTGCATGTTCCTATGTTCATATTGCATGTTTCTATGTTCATATTTGTTTGTTTGATTTGGGTTTTACGTCACACCGACACAGTATAGGTCATTTGGCGACATTCCAGCGGAAGACCTCAGGTGTCCCTCCGTGCATTTTTTCAGGCATGAACGGGCACCTGAGTAGAACCACCGACGTTCTGTAAGCTAGCTGGATAGCTTCCTCACTCCTTGTTCATACAGTGTGTTCCTTGTTCATATTGCATGTTTATACTTACATGGTAAATACAATGTAATAATGTTCTTGTGTGCATAATATTAATCCTTAATGTCATTATCTACATTATAAGCAAGCACCCTTTGAGTTACTACCCTTAGTATAATGTCTACATCTGTAAAATATCAAAATTCAACTTCTCAAGTCCACAATCTATTCTTCTCAACACTTCCTTTCCAGCCCATTAACCCTTAATCAGTTGGAACCAAAAGTGATTAGCCCTTGCCAGCAGTATAGAGCCAGGCCAGCCTGTCTGACCAGACTCTATTCTGTTGATAGCTCATTATTATCTATTTTGATATTGAAATCCCTCCCTTCAAATTATAATAGACTGTTCCCAATTCAAAGCTGGACAAATCCATTATAGAAATTTAGCAGATTCAGGGTAAACCAAGTACACAAGACAGTGATATTCTCATCTATAACCAATAATGTCATGGAAATATAATTTTTGGCAGTTTATTGGCAGGGTATAAGGGGACATTTACAAGAATGGGAGGAATTCTTCACAAGCATTGTGCGAGGTTAGACTGTTTAATATAACAGGTGTAATTTTTTACCTTCCACTCTGATAAACTCATGATAAATAACTTCCTACATAAGCTTCCCCTGTCAATTACAGTAATCTATAATCTTTTCCGAAAACATTTGTTTTCCATCAATGAAAAAATGCATTATTTTCATCAGTTTTTCATTGAACAGGTCTCATACCTGTGACAGCCTAGAATACACTACGACCATAGTGAATGTTAAATGTGCTGACAAATGTTAAGTGTGCTGATGATATGTAGTTTAATCTATCTACGATTCATCTGTTGAAAGGTTATAGTAAAGTAACAGTTGTCTTTTCTTTCTGTGAAATAGGTAAATACAAATATACATTATTATACTATACCAATGGGCCTCCCTAGCAAAGTGGCTAAAGTTTGTCACTGTATCACTTGCACTTTATTGCTGTGAGTCTGCACTTCATTGCTGCGAGTCTGAGTCAAGCAGACAACACTGATTTCTTTCATGTGAGGAAGGCATCAACATTTACCGTGCTAAATTTCCTAGATGGATTTGTTCATCTTTCAATCTGGACAAAACCATTTATCATTTTTAAGGAAATTTTCAAAATAAGTACTGGCTGAATAGTGATAGCTAAAAGCGCAGTCGATGATCAGACTGCATGAATTTGTCAGCTTATGTTGCATAGGTAGATTGATAAGCTGCTGCCAGCGGACTCGAGTCTTAAAGAGAGTCAGAGGATAAAGTCACAGACACTTGGGGTGTGGAGCTTAAAACGTCTTGTAAATCCAAATAAAATGTATATTTGTCAATCCCAGCACATGTACTGATCATATATATATATAAAAACTTTATATAAGCCGTTTTGAAAAAAAAATGATATTTCAACCTCTATAATAATACATTGTACACTATTAGAGACATTGAAATATGAATTTTCTTCAAAACTGCTTATATTAGGTTCTTTTGATATATATGATCAGTACATGTGCTGGGATTGACAAACATACATTTCATTTGGATTTTAAAGGCATTTTAAGCTCCACACCCCCAGTGTCTGTGGATAAAGTATTAAATTAGGTGCCTGTTTTTCTTTGAAATAATGCAGTAAAGGGAATCAAATGGTCCTCCGTAACCAGTAAAACTTGATGTTACAATGTTACATTACCAATATCATAAGCACCACTTTAAATGTTGAAGAAAAAGACCTTACAAGTTCATATTGTTTAACATGAGTCATACCTGTGAATATCCAAATATTTCTATCTTCTTTTTCCCTGTATCATGATGAATTCTACCTCCACCTAGACATTCACAGTCTAGTCCAGCCTCCTCTATTGCCGGAGCTACTTCATCAAATATGTCACCTGAAAATATACAATACTTCAAATCAATATAGTCCTATATAAAACAAATGCATGCTGGGAACATTTTTTTTGCTGCTATGAATGTCGTCTGCATAAAATTTTGAATTTTATCCAAAAGTTTCTTAAAATCATAAAAAATAAAGGTTGGCTGTCAGACGGATGGACAGACGCCAGATAAATTGTGATCGCAAAAGCTCACCTTGGTTGACTGTCAATGAGCTTGGTTTATTAAAAGAAACTGAGCTACTCAGCTTGCCTGGTGTAAGGTATAAACCAGTTTGCAATGGTCAGGGCCGTCACAATCTGACTTTGTCTTATTTGCCTGTTTTATCTGATGCATACTTTACTTGTCTGTATGATATTTATATATTTTTTTTTCGAATTCTAAACTTTCACATAAGTAACTGTTGTTTTCATACTTGTTGTAATTATTTACTAGCCTAGTTTCTCTATGAAAATATATGTATCTTTTGATCCAGTTATTTTATGTAATTCTTTTCGAAAATTATATATGCTATGTTTTTAAAAAAAATTACGTTTATACATACATATGCACATGTTTTATTGTAATACTTATTGTAATATTATCACGTTCCTTTAACGCGCCAAATGTAACGTCTATTAACGTAGACGTTTGTTTTGTTTTGTACGTTTACGTCATTTTTTTTTATATATGTATCAACTGAGGAAGCTTAATAAAGCGAAACATGCTTTGATACTTAATTTGTGTTGGTTTTTGATCCAATTATCCTATATGATATTTTATAAAGTAATTTCTGGAAATAACTCCTTGTTCGTTCTGCCTGTGGGACAGCATGGGCAATACGAACAATCGATTTACCGATGGTTATTGTGATCACTTTTCTCCCCTCTCTCTTATAAAAGCCCCAACAGTTTTAGAGAAAATTAAACTGATCTCTGTGTAAATATCTAAACCCATATCACACGTGTATTCTAAATACTGTAAAACACTTATTATTCGCGAGAAATTTATTTTCGCTAATATTCGCGAATTTTCTAAGACGCGAATTCATATTTCTCGCGAATATTTCACTTAGTCTATACACTTGTCCGAAAATGAACACTATCCGAAAATGCGTACACGTGGATATATATCTGCGGGAAAGTATCGAATTAAGTTCTAGTTACATCATGTAGCTATTCAAGTGTTGCAGCATATACATATCGTACATATTACTAGTATGAAATATTTGCTTGTAACAATTTGGTATTATTGAGGAATTGGAAAAAACTTCTTCGCTGCATATTACCTGTGTCAAGGAAGGTAACTGTGACTTGCACTAGAATTCAGTATAAACAAATTAATGCGTCTCACAAAATTTTAATGGTATTTCTACAGATTGTTCTAATTGGTACAAATACTTTAGCACCTTCGAGTTGTTTGTAACATTTCTATTTACTGTATCCTATTGTATTTTACTACAGTTTAAGCCGGAGGGTAAACATAATCGTTTACTACAGGTAAGGCAAATTGCAGTACCGTTTAATTGATTTTCGTCTGCTTGCCTTTGAATGGCTAATCAGTGAAACTTTAACAGAGTGAACACATATCAAATAATTATCAAACTTTATTGACATATTTCTCACTGAACAAGAAGATTAGCAGGTTATCAGAAAAATCGATACAGATATAAATGCAATTGTCGCACAATAAACGACGGAAAGTAAGTGAACTGACAGGACAGAAAATATCCGAATGACATCGGGTTTCCGGTTTCACATTTTTCGGGAAGACGCGAATTCATGTTGACGCGAAATAATTATTTTGGACATTTTGCCTCAAATTCGCGAAATAAGGTTCTCGCGAAAAATAAGTGTTTTACAGTATATACGTCTAATTTTGCATCACTGCAAACCTCATCAAGGGCGTTGAATAATGTTTACCCAGCGTGCTTACTTTTCTTATCAATACGATATAATGATTTTATTAAATAACATAAATGTAATTCTTAGATAGCATAAGTAACTGATTTCTATAATTATTTGTATGAAAATTTATCGATTTATCCTGACAAGTTTTCCAGGAATGTCCATTGGGAACAGTTTAAGGGGGCATTTTATATGCTAAACTGAACTAACAGACGGACAGGAAGACAGACAACAAATCTATTGAGGGATTCAATATGATTTTCTTTTTCTTGATTGTTTAGTTTAAAGACACACTGTTTAAGGTTATATGTTGAGTTTCTAGCACAAGATTTCATGATACAGGAGGTTCTTACTTCTTAGCTGGGGCCCCCTCCATGCATTATTTCAGACACAATTTGGCACCTGAGTAAAACTATAGACTTTCCATAACCTAGCTCCTGGTAGCTTCTTCTCACGAAAGAATCTAAAGTCCCTGGTGGGATTCGAACAAACAGTGGTATGAGGCTAGTATTTGAAGTCAGTAAAAATAACCCATTAGAACACAAGCTGATACATCAAGATACCTGGTTTGTACACTGTACATTAATTTTGTCAACATCAACTTTGTTGTACATATATTTCAGTAACTTCTTGAGTACATTTTACTTATATATTCATGTTTCTTCACTGCCTCTTACAGAACTTCATTATTTTGATAAATTCATTAATACTTTCCATCAAAAGTAAAGAAATACTATGAAATCTAACGATTGGTATTACTCTTGATGGCAGGAGTACACACCATAAGGTGATAAATTGATGAATCTAATTGCACATAATGTATACTTTCTAGCCCATTATTGGCATGTCTGTTAGTACAGTACATATTTCTTGTTAGGTATTTTTGTATCTCGTGTAAAACAGGTGGCTACCGCATATCAACATCTGTTAATTGAAGCAACCCGTGCACTATGTGCACTACAAGACTCGTGCATGTAGATTTAACTTCCTCTCCATGATAATTAATTATAATTGAAGGAACATGCTCACTTTCATGTTTTACCTTTGATTAAAAAAAGTCATTACTGGAGTCCCTAGCGATGGTGGAATGAAATTTGAATGATAAATTACTTCGGAAAAACATTTCAAGTCCTTGAGGAATTTTTTAATTTTCACAATGTATGATTGTAAACATTATTTACTGTATACAAAATGGGACTCAATTTGATGCTTTTCTCAACATAATTATTGCCAAGGGCTAACTGAGTAATATGATATTTCCCATATTATAACTTATTCTAAAAGTACTTTTGTCTACTTGATAATAATTTTATTACTTAAACTATTTTTAAATAATTACTAAAATGTATAGCCATTATGATGAAAAGGGATATGCAAAGCAACAGTAGTTTACCAACAGACAGTGGACTATAGGGACATGCCAACATGCAGTGGATTATAGGGATATGCCAACAGACAGTTGAATTAAGAGGTATGTAAACAGAAAGTTGATTAAAGGGATATGCAAACAGGCAGTGGACTATAGAAAAATACCAACAGGCAGTGGACTATAGGGATATGCCAACAGGCAGTAGATTATAGGGATATGCAAACAGACAGCGGATTATAGGGAAATACCAACAGACAGTGGACTATAGGGATATCCCAACAGACAGTGGATTATAGGGATGTGCCAACAGACAGTAGATTATAGGGATATGCCAACAGACAGTAGATTATAGGGATATGCCAACAGACAGTGGATTATAGGGATATGCCAACAGACAGTGGACTATAGTGATATGCCAACAGACAGTGGGTCATAGAGATCTGCCAACAGACAGTGGGCTATAAGGATATGCCAACAGGCAGTGAATTAAAAGGATATGCCAACAGACAGTGAATTATAGGGATATGCCAACAGACAGTGGGTAAAAGAGATCTGCCAACAGACAGTGGATTTAAGGGATATGCCAACAGACAGTGGATTATAGGGATATGCCAACAGACAGTGATTTATATGGATTGCCAACAGACAGTGGACTATAGTGATATGCCAACATGCATATGCAAAGAGACAGTGGATTATAGGGATATGCCAACAGACAGTGATTTATATGGATTGCCAACAAGCAGTGGACTATAGGGACATGCCAAAAGACAGTGGATTATAGGGATATGCCAACAGACAGTGGATTATATGGATTGCCAACAGGCAGTAAATTAAAAGGATATGCCAACAGACAGTGAATTAATGTGATATGCAAACAGACAGTGGATTTTAGGGATATGCCAACATGCAATGGATTATAGGGACATACCAACAGACAGTGGACTATAGGGGTATGCCAACAAACAGTGAATTAACAGAATGTGGATTAGTGATCAAAGAGGAACACCACCAACATACAATGAATTAAAAAACGTATATACCAACATATAGTAAAAAAATATATATCAACAGACACTGGATTAGTGATGAAAAAGGGATATACCAACAGATAGTGGTCTATTGGATTAGTACTGTCAAATATCACATTGTTGTTATTTTAGAGCAGTGTACATCAGGACATGGTACAGATTTGTGTATGTTTGCATTATATAAGATAAATAAATGGAACAATTAAAGATTTATCATTAACTTTTCATTGGCAGTGCCGATAATTAGCTCTTTGTTGAACAATCGTGTTTTATACAGTTTAATCTTAAAGAGGATCACACATCCTGTTCAACAACAACATTGTAAGCTTTCCTTTAATGAAAAACAGATTTTTTTTTAATCATAAATACAAGAAAACAACAATGACTTTATTTCTACAGTTTCACATTGTTTAAACGATTTACATCTCATCTGTATTAAAATCAAATTAAACTGAAGTTAAACATAAAGCACTGCAAAGAAAAATTAATTTTTAATCATGTAATGTTTAAAAAAGATATGTTATGATAATTCAACAGCTTCAAATTATATTCCAAATATCCTGGGGTATGTCAGTCACACGCAGTTCATCAAGCTGATAAAGTTTCCTCCCATCTAGTGATCATGATGCCCCTATCAGACCCACACCTCTCTCACACACATCCTCCATTTTTAATTCTTATAACATGCAAATGAATAACTGAATGAAATGGGGTTGTTTTTTTGCATCTTCATTTCTTTTTTTCCATTTTATCATTTCATTAAAATTGTTACAGCATGCACAGATTTTATTGCCACCTGGCAAATATTGTTAATTTCCATTCTTGATGATATTCTTTCTTCTTGATCAGTATAATGTAAGCTTATTGTAAAAGTTTCAATGCCATCATTTCTTGACTTTTATAATTAACAAGTGCCCTGGGCATTATATGGAGCTTTCATGACCAGTGCCCTAGACATTACATGAGGCTAACTTCTTTTAGTGACATGGATAATACATGGGGCTTACTTGACTAGTGCTCTGGGCATTATATGGAGCTTTCATGACCAGTGCTCTGGGCATTATATGGAGCTTTCATGACCAGTGCTCTGGGCATTAGATTAAGCTTACTTAACCAGTGCCCTATAGGCATTACATGAAGCTTACTTTTTTTAGTGACCTGGGTGTTACATGGGGCTTACTTGACCAGTGACCTGGGCCTAAGACGGGGCTTACTTTATTTGTGACCTGGGTGTAAAAATAGATAGGACTTACTTTACCAATGACTTGGGTGTTACATGGGGCTTACTTGACCAGTGCCATGAGCCTAAGACGGGGCTTACTTTATTTGTGACCTGGGTGTAAAAATAGATAGGACTTACTTTACCAATGACTTGGGTGTTACATGGGGCTTACTTGACCAGTGCCCTGGGCCTAAGATGAGGCTCCTTGGTGCTAGAATAGATAGGGCTTACTTAACCAATGACCTGGGTGCTACACGGGGCTTACTTGACCAGTGCACTGGGCCTAAGATGAGTGAGGCTCCTGGGTGCTAGAATAGATAGGGCTTACTTTACCACTGACTTGGGTGCTACACGGGGCTTACTTGACCAGTGCCCTGGGCCTAAGATGAGGCTCCTGGGTGCTAGAATAGATAGGGCTTACTTTACCAATGACTATGGTGTTACATGGGGCATACTTGACAAGTACCCTGGGCATTATACAGGTCTTACTTTATCAGTTTCCTGGATGTTAGATGAGGTAATAGTATTACTTTCCTTGTTGTTTTTGTAATACAAATAAATAAGGCAGTGTTAAATTTCCTAGTTTATAATGGACACTGCAGGGATTATAATTGGGGATAGTGCTCGGGGAGGGTTGTAGGTCATTTAAAAGAAATTCTGGCACTATAATCAGTTGGCTTCAAAATGTTTTACCATTAGAGTCCTCAGAAAATAACAATTAGCACAGGAGTGGCTGCAGTGGATGAGTGTTGACATGTTTATATCAGTAAGTTCAGCCAATACTTGACACAATACAA